GGGTGTGGGTGGGGAGAGGGGGGGGGGGGGGGGGGGGGGGGGGGGTTGATGGGTCAGAGAGTGTGTTCAATTATACACAAGACACACAAACATTCAGATTCCATCAAACACTACAGCGCCCCTGAGAACAGTGTGTGTGTGTGTGTGTGTGTGTGTGTGTAGCCGCTGTTGAGGCAGTAAAAGTACACTGTTCCCTCAGTGTGTTTGTGTACTGACAGAGTTCAGCATGCACTGAGGGAATGTACATTATTATAAGGTACATCCACAGTGCGTGCTGGGTAATAAATTGCCTCTTGACTGCCCAGTGCGCATGCAAGGTCAAAACTCACACAGTCTCCCATACATACATTCAGTTGGCATCCAACTGTGTTTTCATTCAGAATTCTGCCTTTATATAAAGAGAAGAGAGATGAGTTTATCTCAATTAAAATACAATGTGTTAAACACAAAAAACATTGCAATTGTGTATTTTTAACTGCACATTACCATGAACAATCATGAGTCAGTAGGTCTCATGAAGCTTTAGGGCACAATGTAGATGTAGATTCAGTGAAGGCTTCATCAGACCGATTCAAACTGGCAGTGTGTTTATTGTTAAGTATAACTACAATTAAAAGATGTTTGTTAATTTAAATAAATGTTTAATTTAATTTAATTTAATTTAATTTAATTTAATTTAATTTAATTTAATTTAATTTAATTTAATTTAATTTAATTTAATTTAATTTAATTTAATTTAATTTAATTTAATTTAATTTAATTTAATTTAATTTAATTTAATTTAATTTAATTTAATTTAATTTAATTTAATTTAATTTAATTTAATACCTAAACTTAAAAGCTCAAAAATCCGAAATGTTGCCTTGGCAACTAACTGAAATAAGCTGAAGTTTAAAACAAAACTGAAATAAATCTACATAGAAATGTAAAAAACAATAAAATTACAATAGCACAATACAAAATTACTAAAGCTTTAACTAAAATTTTAATTAAAACGGAAAATATACAAGTTAAAAAATATTATAAAAGCTCATTAAAAAATGTATAAATACTATAAGACTTTATAAATCAATGCAAACTGCTGAGTTTGTCTTTTAGAAAAATTCATAAAAAAACACTTATAAGAGTGATTTATTCATGATTACATTGTTACATTGTTATGTCACTAATGCAATGAAAAGACAAAAATTCATGTTTTTTTATTATTATTATTTTTATCTTAGTTTTTTTTCAAATGATAGATCTGGATTTTTATCTGATGATATGAACATTTCTGGTATATTTTTTAAAGTGTGCAGTGCCGAAATATAGAGATATCTTCACATTTTTATTTTATTTATTTTACTACTTAATACAGTTACATAAAATAAAATTATTTAGGCAGTTCTGCTGTCAAAGTCTGGCTTGTGACATATTCATCCAAATGGGAAAAGCTATTGATTCCAATTATTGTGAAATGCCAAACATCTACAGATCAATCAACCACTAATATAAATGCATCATCTTCTGTGCAGACGTTGTATCGATATGTGCTGGAAGACGTTTATGAGTTCCCCACGCTGGAGAAGGACCTGAAGGAGTTCCAGAAACTTCTGCGACGGAGACAGTGAGTTGCACACACACGTTTGCATTTTTAATTTAAAATAATGAACTATTTGAGCCATTTCAAGTGGAGAGAATCAAAATTGATTTTTACGTAGAAAGGGCGACAGTGCACCGCATTAAAATATATTATCCTTCATGTTTTCATAACCGCTAGCCAAATCTTTGAGAGCAAGGGGGCCCCATATTGTTTCGGGGGCCCTACACAGCTTGCGTATTTTGCATATAGGGAGGATCGGCTCTGGGTGAGCATCTCCTAAACTCCCTCAAAAGTCCATTTTTAGCAGGTTTTCTGTATTTGACGAGTAAAACAGAGCAAACATGAGCAGGAATGCAGATGAGCATGCACGCCTCTCCTGAGCTCTTTACGAGCTGTCGTCTGATCAGCTTAGCGTGGAAAGGTTCCCGTTGGGCCGCTGGAGCTGCTCTCATCCTCAGGGTTTGGCAGGCAGATGCTCGTTATCCCGCTTAATGAGCTGACATGCTCAGAGGTGTAATTATGACTGCTGCGAGGGGCGGAGACTCACTGAGCTCACGCCCATCTGAAGAGATCTGATTGGCTCGCCGAGCGGCATGCCAGGGGCAAATGGGTAATGGGCCGTGAGCGTGTGTGAGATGAATTAAAGAGGGAAATAGCATCAGTGTGTGTGTGTGTGATCGCTGCTGATGTCTCCAATAATCTCACGTGTTTCCTCTAGAGTTTCATAAGAGGTTTTAATAATGTTTCTCAAATTGTGCTCGGATTGGAATAAAATAGTCAGAGATTAACTCAAATGTTTCTCATCAAGTTATTTGAATTTCTCTGAAATCTCAATTTTTTTTCTTCTGGATAGCAGTGAGATTAAATGTCGGATTGAGTCTCCAATAATCTCACGTGTTTCCTAAGAGGTTTTAATAACGTTTCTCAAATAAACTGACTCTGCACAAATTTGCAAATAAATGTCAGAGTGTGAACGCAAACGTTTCTCGTCTCAAACCGTGCGCAGATCTCAGTATGAGCGCAAACATTTCTCATCAAGTTATTTTTAATTTATTTAATATCTCATTTGTTTCTTCCATACAGTGATGATATGAGACGTATGCTTGAGTCTGTTTGCTCCATCATAAGAGATCTCGATAATGTCTCAAACAGTGCTTAGATCTCAATATGAACTCAGACATTTCTCAAAAAGTAAATTCGAATTTATTTAAAATCTCGTTTGTTTCTCATGGACAGCAATGAGATTAAATGGAGAGTTTTTCTTGAGACGATGTTTGATCAAGAGATTCATAGGAGATCTCAGTAATGTCTCAAAGTCCGCTCAGATGTCAGCGATCTCAATTTGAACTCAATTTTGAACATTTCTCATCAGGTTGATTTGAATGTATTTAATATCTCAATTGTTTCTCATTTCTCAGCAATGAGATTAAACTGAGAACTTTGGCTTGAGACTGTGTTTGCTCTGTAAATTTCATCGGAGATCTAAATAATGTCTCAAACTGTTCTCAGATGTGCTAATAACTCAAACATGTCTTACCAAGTTAATTTGAGTATCTCAATTGTTTCTCCTGGACAACAATGCAATGGAGTAAATGGAGTGCAAATGGAGACTTTTGCCGAAGTCTAGTGCATTTCACCTGAGAAAAAGACACCAGTAATCTCACGTGTCTCATGTAAAGTTTCAAAAGTGATCTCAATGTCTCAAACTTTGCTTGGATTTGCCAATAAAACACAGAGATCTCAATATTATCACAGAGATCTCAGATTAACCAAAAATACCAAACTCTGCAACCAAAACTCAGAAATCTCAATATGACCTCCAACATTTCTCATCAAGTTATTTTAAATGTATTTCATGTCTCAATTGTTTCTCCTGGACAGAAATGGAGTGCAAATGGAGACTTTTGCTTGAGTCTAATGCTTTTGTATCTGAGAAAAAGACCTCAGTAGTCTCATTTGTCTTCTCCAAAGTTTTAGAAACATCTCAACTACGTCTCAAAGTGTGCTCAGATCTCCTAGAACCAACCTGAGATGTTATGTACATTAATTTGTATTGCTCTATAGTTCTTACTGTATGACAACAACGGTCTGTTTTAAATTCTTCTAATGAACTTTGGGAGAAACATCTGAGATGATTCTTCTGAGCTTTAAACGAGCAACTATTGAGCCAAATCATTGGCATTTGTCAACGGGTAAAAAAAGAAAGTGAGAATTTTATTCTCCTTAGAAAGGTTTTGTGTTAAAACGAGGGACGAGACGGTGATTAAAGCACTCATTTATCCTGCTAAAATCAGACTTCTCACTGTCTGGTTTGTGGAGCTCTGCAGCTCAGCGAGACAGAAACACAATCCTGAGTCGATCACCTCCTGTTAAAGCAGCGCTCTTCTGATAGATGCATGTAGTTCAGCGACAGAGACAAACAGAGTCTCACAGGAGACGTCTCTGTCTGTCCGGACAGATGTTAAATCAGCCGTCTCTCGGTGCATCTGTCAGACTCACATCGGGAGTGTTTCTGCAGTCGTGGACGTCTCGTCTTGTGTCTCTAAGCTGCTTTCTCTCTCTTTCTTCCCCTCAGTACGGTGGACGACTATTCTCCACACCAAAAGGTGAGAGAGACTGTGAAAACCAAGAATTATTTACCCCAAAATGAACAAGTAATGAAATTGTTAAAATGAAGTAAACGGCTAAATACTCTTTCAAAAATGCATTAAAAATGAAAAAATGAAGTTCAAATACTGAACTGTTGTTTGTACTTCCAGAATAAAGGGCTGTACCAGCAGCTGAGTCTGAAGGAGAACTGTGTTCCTCTCCGAGCATCTCCAGTCGAGAGCAAGGACGGTAATACTGCTGTCTTCTCATGCTTGGGTTCTTCTGATTTATATTTTTATATCATACACTGACATACACTACAGGTGCATCTCAATAAATTAGAATGTTGTGGAAAAGTTCATTTATTTCAGTAATTCAACTCAAATTGTGAAACTCGTGTATTAAATAAATTCAGTGCACACAGACTGAAATAGTTTAAGTCTTTGGTTCTTTTAATTGTGATGATTTTGGCTCACATTTAACGAAAACCCACCAATTCACTATCTCAACCAATTAGAATATGGTGACATGCCAATCAGCTAATCAACTCAAAACACCTGCAAAGGTTTCCTGAGCTTTCAAGTCTCAGACAGTGGTCTGTTGAAATATATACAAACAAATTAGAAATCAAAGCTGAGCTGCAGCTAACAGAACCAGTGCTGAAAACTAAACTGGAAATCTAAATAGAAAATTTTAAAATGTTTGATAATACATATTTTATTTAAATTATATGTTTGAATATATAAAGACAAATTTTGGGTGGGTAAATGTCATGTGGAAATCTACAGGTCAGGTTTCACCCTAAAACAAAAGAAAAGTAAATAATTGGAAATAAAAATATATTATATTGTATAGGTTTTATATTATGCATTTATATATATTATACAAATTCATATTTTATATTTTGTATAATATGATTTTTTTTTGCATTACATTAATGAGAATTTTGAGGAAAACATGCTTATAATGAAGCTTATGTAAAATTATGCAAAAATATATGCAAATATATAATAGAAGCAAAATGCTAACAATAATTTTCTTTTTGCAAATAGAAATTTATTATATATATATTTGAATTTTTTTATAAAATATAATATATATATAAAATAATTTATATAAAAATAATAAATTATATCAAATAGAATAATAGAATAAAAACAATGATATAACTAAATTTTCTTTATGCCAAATGCCAATATCAATTTAAATAAATAAATGTGAGAATATAATAATAGAAAAAAATGAAAAGAAAATTAAGCACATTAATTTACATTAAATTAATGTACATTAAATTACATTTATTATAAATAGTTTTTTTTATCCTTTTGATACAATACAATATGTAAATAAACAATAACATTTTATATAATAATTGAAAGAACAAAGCATAATAATAGAACTAATTTTTTTTATGCAAATACCAATTTAAATAAATGTAAATAAAATATGTTAATAGAAAAAAGAACAAATTTAATAAGCACACAAAATGTATTTTTGAAAATATAAATTTATTATAAATAGTTTATCTTTTTGATATAATAAGATATGCAAATAAACAAACAAATAAAATAAAAAGCATAATATAACAATTTTCTTTATGAAAACGTACATTTAAATAATACATATTTTTAGTATAATATATCAATGTAAATAGAATAAAAAAACTAATATAAAAATATAATGTAATTTTTTCATCATGTGATGTTGGGAATCTGTGTGTGTGTGTGTGTGTGTGTGTGTGTTTGTGTGTGTGTGTCTGTGTCTGTGTGATTGTTTCAGTGATGTGCCGTGTGTATGTGAGCTGTGATTCGTATCTGAGCATGCGGGTGAAGCCTGCGGTCGTGGCTCAGGAGCTGCTGCACATCGTCTCTCAGCGGATGGAGCGATCCGAGGACGACATGATGCTGGTGGCACAAACCTATAACGGAGGTTCATACACACAAGCACACACACTCTCTCTCACACACACAAACACTCTCTCTCTCTCTCTCTCACACACACAAACACTCTCTCTCACACGCACACACACTCTCACACACACACTCTCTCTCTCTCACACACACACACACTCTCTCTCTCTCTCTCTCACACACACACACACACATACACTCTCACACACTCTCTCTCTCACACACACACAGACACAGACACACACGCGCACACACACACACACACACACACACACACACACTCTCTCTCTCTCACACACACACACACTCTCTCTCTCTCTCTCTCACACACACACACACACATACACTCTCACACACTCTCTCTCTCACACACACACAGACACAGACACACACGCGCACACACACACACACACACACACACACACACACTCTCTCTCTCTCACACACACACACACTCTCTCTCTCTCTCTCTCACACACACACACACACATACACTCTCACACACTCTCTCTCTCACACACACACACAGACACAGACACACACGCGCACACACACACACACACACTCACACACAGTCAAACACTGACCCTGTGCTCTGTCTCTCAGAGAAGCGTGTTCTTCAGCCGCATGACAGTATTTACTCTGAGTCTCTGACGGCACCCAGCAGACTGATCGCCTGTCGCAGAGACCTCAGCGAGATCCTGGTATGACAAACTAGCACAGTGTGTTTGCTTTTGTGCCTGAACCTTATAAACATAACTCAGTGACGGTGTGTGTGTCTCAGCCGCCGCTGACGGAGTGTCCAGAGCTGGGGCAGAAGCCCGTCAGACTGCTGGGCATCAACACGTGGGACGTCGCTGTGGCGCTGACAAACTTCGACTGGAATCTCTTCAACTCCATCCACGAGGTGAAGCTTCTCAGATGCTGCTGTCATCATCAAATCATGAGCTTGATTTTACACCAGACAGCAGATGAAACAATCACATTTATATGGTTATATTCATTTATATTCTATTTACATTCATATGGTATTATATTAAAAAAGATAAAAAATATATTATTTATATATTATTATTTATTTAAATATATATTTGCAAAAAGAAAATTGAGTTATGATCTATTTTGTTTAAATATTTTATATTATAAATTTTTTTAAATAGATGATAAATATATATTTGTGTAAACAAAATGTAGTACTATTATGATGTTTAAAAAAAATCTGTTATTATATTTTATTTACATTTTATTATATTCAAATTATTAAAATGCGCAAATATAAATGTATTGTATTTTAAGTGTATTATATGTTTTAAGCTAAAAAAAAACAAACAACTAAAATTGTTTTACATTTTCTATTCAACATTGAAGATCTTTTAAACATGAGATTTTTAAGCTTATATTTTTCTCTCATAATAATTGTTCCGAAAACATACCCAAAACCAAAATTGAATGTTTTTAAAATGTTTTGGGATATATACTACTGATTAAAATGTGCGGGTCTGAAAGATTTTTTTTAAATCTCTTAAAAGATGTTTGTTTTGCTCACCGGAGCTGCATTTATTTAATAAAAAATTTAGTAAAAACAGTAAATATTATTACAGTTTAGAAATGCTGTTCTATGTGAATATCTGTTAAACTGTAATTTATTTCTGTGATGCGCAGCTGAATTTTCAGCAGCATTACTCCAGTCTTCAGTGTCACATGATCTTCAGAAACCATTCTAATATGCTGATTTAAGAAACATTTCTGATTATTATCAATGTTGAAAACAGTTGTGCTGCTTCATATTTTTATGGAAACAGTGATACATTTTATTTTTCAGGATTCACAGATGAATAGAAAGTTCAAAAGAACAGCATTTCTTTGAAATAGAATCTTTGTAACATTATAGATGTCTTTACTGTCACTTTTGATCACTTTAATGCATCCTTGCTGAATAAAAGTATGAATTTCTTTAAAGACACCACACTGACCTCAGTCTTTCCTGTGTGTGTGGCAGCAAGAGCTGATCTTCTACACGTTCAGTGGTCAGGCGAGCAGTGGACACACGGTGGCGCTAGAGTTCCTGCTGCAGCGCTGTAATGAGGTGCAGCAGTGGGTGATGTCTGAGGTGCTGCTCTGTCCCTCGCTCAGCAAACGAGTGCAGCTCCTCAAGAAGTTCATCAAGATCGCCGCGCAGTGAGTCTCACTTCACCTTCACATCAGAAAATATAACAATACTGCTTGTTTTGACAGATACCGATTATTCTTATGTTTAAAGGGGTCCTATTATGCTCTTTCACAAAGTCTTGATTTTGTTTTGGGGGTGTACTAGAACATGCTCTCATGCTTGGTGGTTCGAAAAACGCATTATTTTTCACATAATTTACATTATTACAATACCTTTCTCCCCAGGCTGGCACAAACGGCTCGATTAGTTCCGGCTTTGATGAAGGTCCGCCTTCCGAAAAACAAAATGTGTTGTGATTGGTTAGCTGTCCCAGTGCGTTGTGATTGGCGAACAGCTTAGATGGTGTTTCTGTACTGCAACGCCCCCTTGCTCTGTCTTTCAACAAAAGCTTTTGGCGAATCCGGCACTGTACTCCCTCATGTTGTGGAAGCTGTCCTCAGTAAAATGCGCAGCACACAATAGCAAATTGGGGTTATAATGCTCAGGAACAGAGTTAAAAAGTAGATTGCAACCACTGTTTCCTGACATCATCCGCTTTCGGAAGCCCAAACAAAGACGTTTGGGCACGGAGGTGAAAAAAA